ATATTTAAAAAGAAACTATACTTGAAATAAAGTATTAAGTAATAAAGTGCGTAAACAAGTATCGGTTCTTTGCTAAAAAGACATTCAGCAAATATATTTTCATGCGAATACACCTTTACATCGTGATATTTCGAGCGCATTTTGTACTTCCCTTCCCCGATACAGCTTGCGCGTGTACACCCCTTTCTGGATTTGGAGGGGAAATGAGAGCAGGGTCACGGCAAGTCGCCTGTGCTCGCAGGAGCTTCGAGTTTCCTAGATGGACTAGTAGCTTGTGTGGGCACATTTTGACAAGAGTAAGCGAAGTAACGTAATACATATGAAATATGTAGAAATAGATTTCTAGAAGTGATCTATTGACACTCTAACTCTGATAAATGCTTCCTACAACGTGTGTTGTTATTATTAATATATGTTTTAAATATGTATTTAACCAATATTAAGTCAAATATTGAATATGTAAAATATTGAAGAGTCGCTAAGAACCTTCGATTGATGTGACTATAATAACCCCCCTCCAAAAATCTGTTTTGAATGCAAATATGTACACAGACTTAAGTAATGCAGTTTTGACAAAAACTACTGATTCGTAAATAAATGGGCAAGGCAATGGCAGTATTCCACTCTCAATGAATAGAAGCTTGCAGGAATCACATTGCTTATTAGGTATTTACGATGGAAAAATAAAATCGAATGAATTTGAAATCAATTATTTTTAGTGTGATTTTAGTTGAATATCAGTTAGCTTTTCAGTGTTTACCACGAGGAGCTGCAAGTTATTTCGGACGTGTGTGAGCGTGAGAGTGATTGTGTCTGAGTGTGCGTCCATATGTGCGTGTGTGTGTGTGTGTGGGGGGGGGGGCTTCGTTGGGACCAAGTGGGAGGGGAAGCGAACGTATCATAAACAAGAGCGAGGCTCTGGAAGTTTGAATCGATGTCAATCGTTCATCGATAGGTCAATCAACAATTGACATCGTTTGTGTCTCCGGAGCGACTACACAAACAGACTGCGAGCTCCACTGGGCTTCGAATGGCTCGACGTCAATTTTTTTTCTGAAATTTCCCCTCGCCCTTTGAAATCAGAGCTTTTTGTCAGAGACCCACATCTCTGGTTTTGACATTTTCTGTGTCCCTGGTGACAGGAAAATGAGAATATTTCCAATTGATATTTTCTCTTCGAGTATGTTCAAAGAAAATCTATGGTGTTTTGTTTCGTTTCTTGTTGAATATTTCGTTTGGCCACTGACACTGTTTAAAATGGTGTTTTGAAACTTTCTTGAAAGCCGTCATGAATTTTCAATCTACTCGCTATGTTGTGTTTGAGGAGTTTAGCGGGGGGGGGGGGTCGAACCCCAAAGCTTGTGAAATTAACAGAAGGGCGGGGGAGGGGGGAGAAGCGAGAGAAATGTTTCAGGAAAAATAACAATTTCACAAAATTTTGTGACATATTCACTATCCCTGTTTATAAATTCAAAACCATTTCAACATCTTTCTAACAATATTGTAGTTCATGTAATGTCATTCCTATTTAATTAATTATACTTTATCGACTATGAGTAAGAATTAGCACTTTGGGATATTGGAGACACAATTTCAGAATATGTGCTAAGTGAAATTATAGCATCAGTAATACGTATAAATAGGGGACGGATTTTGATGACCTAGAACATCTCCAAAAATGATCTATAAAATGCACCTTAAAGGTTTTTAAAATGCCCTAAAAGCAAAGAAAAATGACGTGTGATGTGATCAAATCCAGTTCGGATGATCAGGTGAAGTCGTTGCTTACGTTACTGATGTAATCGAGGCTTATTCTATTCGTTAAAGTGAACTCAGCTTTCAAACTTTTGGTTTAGAGTATTCTTCTTCTTCTTATTCTACTTCTTCTTCTTTTTCTTCTTCTACTTCTTCTTCTTCTTATTCTGTACTTCAGGGATTAGGCGGCTGCATGTTCCGTCTTTACATAACAAACCATCTTCTGCCTGGTCTTCCTACACTCCTTCTTACTGTTGGGTTGTACTGCAGTACTTGTTTAGGTAGCCTGTTGTGCTTCATTCTTTCTAAATGTTTTTTCCAGTCTTGTTTGTATAGTTGTATACAATCATTTACACTAAATATATTAAATCTTTTTCTTATATCTTCATTTCTTTGTTTGTCTTTTTACTCTTCTTAAAAAAATCATCTCTGTAGCTTGAATGTTCATTTTTTCTTTTTGAGAAATAATCAAATTTTCACTCCCATACAGGACTACTGGACTACTAGACTGTTCTTTACCATGAAATCTCTGTCTTTAGCTATCTCAAAATCGACTGAACCAACAATGGCGCTGATAGCGTCACAGGAACCTTGCATTACATACAACGGCTGACATTTCAATTTCTGAGCGAAGAAATCGAATTCTGTTCAGAAATTCTGTGGAGAATATTTGTTGCATCGAGTAAATATTATTTGTAGCAAGAAACATTAAAATTGTATTAAAATCAATGATATCAGCGAAAAATACAGTAAAAACGACGGAAAATGTAGAAAAGACTTATTAGTGGAAATTGACGAAAAATGCAAAAAATTGACATAAAAATTATTCATTTCCTTTTGTTATAACTTAAAATTAATTTCTATGCTAAACGTCAGTTTTTAAAGTGAAAAGAAAAAAATTATTAAAATCCGCCTCTATTTATAAAGGACAAATCAACAGTCATTGTAAGTAAATTACAATTTGTTTCATAATTGTCATTATTTATAATCGTTTCAGAACATTATTATACACGTCGTGGTATAACTAATTTTTCATGAGTAAGAATACCTATGCTATTTATATTTTCATGAAGGTTAGTCATGTAGAAACAGAATATCTCGTGGAAAAGCAGTCCAAAAGCAACATTTCGTCTCTGCGTCAATTGAGCCGTTCAGCGATACTCTCATTACGTCAATTTTTTTGACATTCCTGGAAAATAAGTTCATTGAATTTTACTCCAAATTTATTCTTATTGATTGGTGCAATGTTTATCTAAAGAAGGAATTCGGAATTCTGCCTATACCTTCAATACAGTCAGTTTTCTTTCATCTTGAACAAATCATAAACAATAGAGCATGAAGAATTAGGTCGGTCATCGTCTGTCTTTACTTGCTCGCATACTACTATAACTAGAAGAAGGCTGCAAGTGATCATTCTGAATAACACTTATTTAATGTTCAGGTAATCACATTTTTATCGTCTTGGCGAATGTCAGCCTACAAAATTGCATGCATGTTCTCTCCACCCGCACCAATCTTAACCATCTTTGGAACGTCACTAATGACTTTAATATGACGTGAGTACGAAGTAAGGAAAAGTAAAAATGTTTTCTCAAAAACATCATCAAACGATTTCTTTTATTTGTTTCTGGAATAGAGAAAAATACGCTAAAAAGACTCGGAACTCATAGTCTGTAAACTCTGTATTTTCAAAAATTGCAAAAAATTAACATAGCAAATTAACATAAGTTATTGATGATAAAAACTCTTTACTTAATAAAATATTTTTTTGAAAATAAGCTTATAACCATATTTATAGATCTTATTGGTCCATTTTTTGAAAATATGAGTGGTTCGCGTAATTTTGCTGTCTTCGAAATGACAAATTCGAGTTTCTCGGTGTTTTTTATCAAGAGTCATTACGAAATATCAGGTTGCTACAATGGTAATGCCACGAAACATCAATTATTTGTTGGGCGATTATGTTTTCGCTGCATTGGATTGTCGACTTTGTGTTGATGAATGATTTCGCGCCAAATGTCCTACGATTGATATCGATGGTTCAAAAGTGATATCTGAAGTGATATGAAATGTGTTATATATGATATATGATATATATATATATATATATATATATATATATATATATATATATATATACACACACTCGTATGTGATGCACGTGTTATGAAATGTGTTAATATCGAAAAAAAATGTGTTAAATAATAACGTAAGGTTACTAATACGAGAAAGTACATGTTGCAGAAACACCGATTGTTTACAGGAAGTCGTAAAGAAAGTAAGCGTAAGTGCGAATTCGTTTAGTTTTCTGTTATGTGATTAATTCGGAAACGTTTCAAAAGTAAACTTTGGATTCAAAACATTTCACTATGACCAATTACACTCCCACTTATTTCAAAGAAAAATCTCAAGACGATGGGTGAGAGTGAAATGACGGCTGGGAAATACGACAGTGCTTTCAATACTTTTCTGTCCTGTCAGTTGTATTTCTTCTCGGCTGAGGCCGGTGGATTTTCGGAGAGCAGAAATTTCTCATTGTGTCATGTCTCTCTTGTAGCTTGTAAGGGATTCCTGGACAAATGCCAGGCAAAATTATATCCTCCGATAATTTTTGCCCTTAGATCCGTAAAATCATTCGAAAAAATAAGTTATAGCTGTGAATGGAGTATGAATACTCATCTTCTTTGCAAATATTATTTATATGATTTTTTTAAAATGATGGTATTTGGAATTAATGATTTTTGGCCAATGAAGAGCAAATAGCCTACACAATTTGTTCAAAACTTTTGCAATACCGCTTTCGTTTAAAAAAAATACTATAAGTTATTGTTGTAGGAATACTCATCAGTCATCTGTTGTTACAACTCATGTGTTTCGATTGTTCTTATCGGACGGCGGTCTGTAAAATGGTTAACGAACGTCGGCCGTTAAGTTCGTCCTCTACTTGCGGTAAGACGATGATAAGAGAAGAGAGTTATTGTACAAGACACGAGGGGTTTCACAAATAACGGTTTGCCGTGATTATAGCTTTATCAATTTGAATCGCAACCGTTATCTTCTGCTTATCAGTATATGTCGCTAATGACTCCGAGAATGATTTGAAGGGTCGTCTCATGGGCGAGGGCTGGGACGAGGGCTGGGACGAGGGCTGGGGCGAGGGCTGGGGCGAGGGCTGGGGCGAGGGCTGGGGCGAGGGCTGGGGCGAGGGCTGGGGCGAGGGCTGGGGGCTGCATTGTTACTCACCTGGGCGCAGGGCGGAGCGCGGGATGGTGAGGTTGGCTTCGACAAGCACCCGCGTTTCGGCGCCCGCGCACCGCAGCACCGAGTGCTCGGCGTCCACGCGCCACCGCTCCCAGCTGTTGGGGTCTGCGTCCGCGTGGACCAGCCGCACCTGCGCACCACCGCACCACACACACGAAATGATAAAACGCTACCTCCATCTCTCGAATTAACGTTTATAATTGAATTTCTTAATAACTCGACTTCATGGACCTGAGAATATTTAGTGCAAGCCAAGCAATACGTTACAATGATAGTGCCCTGAGGAAAGCCGAAACAATGGAGTATTAATAATTATTGTTTTCTTTATATGCCTTACTCTCACGGTATTTGCCGTACCTAAGAAAGAAGGAGAAGAAAGGTAGCCCGTGTAGGCGACTCACCCGCGCCACCCAGTCGCCCGTCTCGTTGCGCTCGCTGCTGAGCACGAGGCGCGCCGAGGTGGTGCTGCACGTGGGGTCGACGTCGCCGAAGCCCGACAGCCCCGGCTCGCCCGACGCCGTCAGCGCCGCCCACGCCGCCACCGCCAACCCTGAAACACACCGCCGACAAGCACACGCAATGCACTAAATCATTGAAACAGCAATAGCGCTCTTATGCTGGAGGGGGAACAGTTCGAATGGGCGAGTGTTTTGTGTTTTCGGAAATCAACAACTTTGGTCATGTGTCCCGTGAGTGTAGAGCATGTTAGATATTAAGGGGGGGGTTCTCCTTCGCGGGAACGTAAGTTCTGACGCCTAACTACATGTTGGTTTGCGAAGATTTTCGTTCTCCCGGCGGAACACCGCTCAGTCCGTACAAACACTGAGCTCTCGTTATGTGTGTGAAGTAATGTGTGCGCTCATAAATTTGTGTAATGGAGTAACAAGAAGGAGGAAATGTGGCGGTACGTGGCTATTTTACGTCCCCCCACCGTTAGGGTACTGCTGCGGCATGCGCCTGGGTTTGATGGGAAACCACTAATAGAGAAGTTATAGTCAATCGAATACTCATCCTGAATTTGACTTGTGTCGAAAATGTCCCACCTCGGAACTCCTAGCAAGAGAGCGGCGACGGTTGTCACTGTGACGTCTCAGCCGTTTAGGAGATCTCGATTAGTCGAAGTATTCTAAATATGCACCAAGGTGAAGGAAAATAAAAGTATTCGAGAAATCGAACCGAATTACTGACTGTGCATTCGAAAGCCATCAAATCTTGTGATATTACATTTGAGCAGGGAACTCGGTTCCGTTCCTGCGTCGTACATCAGAAAGCTTACGAGGCGATTTCTATAGACGATCAAATTAAACTTAATTCAACAGATGATTGGAATTTGAAAGCAAACATTTTAAAAAGTAAGAAACGTTAGAGCACGTAAGTGACAACCTTACTAATTTTTTAATTTATTTAATTGTCTTAAGTTACTCATGTCAATTCGAATTTACTCATTTCAAAATACATCTTTAAAAAATAGATTTCATTAATGGAAATATATCTCTCTTTAATATTTTTAGTTGTAGGAACGCTTGGAAAAACTTTTGAACGTGTGCAATTTTCGAAAAAGTGGGGTTTTTAACTAACATAAGACATGAACAATGTTCTTAAACGTCCTGTTCTTAAAAGCGTTGTAGCCATAGTTTAGAACAATTTTAAAATGTCCCAAAGCATTCATGTAAAATACCTCAAAAACTGATGATATCTGTTTGAAATTCAAGAGGCTGCTATTTCATCCAGATAGATTGCGGAATATCAGTTTTGGAGAAAATTGGCTGAACTGTTTAGCCCTTATGACCTGCAAAAAATGGATTCTGGCTACACTACTAGAGGGTTTTTTCTCTCTAAATTTAGCAACTGGATTTATCGACTTTTTCGTTACCAGGCCCCCGAAATAAGTTTGTCTGTCGAAAATTCGCCGTTTTTACATAATTTTCTCTAACTGCGTAAGCTGTAGCGAGAAAGTAAAAGGAGGCGAAGTCAACTATAACAAATAACATACTCTACCTAAAGAAGTTAATAGCTAAAACCAGCTGAGCAGAGAAGTGCGGTCCGAGTGCATTACCGAGCAGCAGCTTGGGGAGCGGGACGTCGCGCGCCATCGCCGCCGCCCGCACAGTCCCGCCACTGAAGCCGAGCTCGCAGGTCCGCTTGGCCGTGCGTCGCCCCCGCCCATCGCCGCCCTCTACCGCCACCCCTCCAACCGCCGCCGCCTCCACCGCCGCCGCCTCCACTGGCCGCCGCCGCCGCTACCCGCCGCCACGCCGCCCGCGCGCAGTCGTTGTGCTGGCGAGCGCGGTGGGGGGGTTTGGGGCCCCGCCGCCGCGCGGCCTGCGCGCCTGCGACGCACTCTGCCGCGAGCGCTGCGCCCGCGGTCGCGCGATGCGACAGAGCTCGTCCGCGCGCGGTGGGCCGCCCGCGCACCGCCGGGCCGGCGGTGGCGGGTTAAGCCGCGGCCGAGGGGCGGCCCCGAGGACGGCCGCACCGCCGCGGGGTGAGCGAGAGGGCGCGAGCGGAGGCGTAACTGGCGCAGGCCGCCGAGGCGAGCGGCGGCTGCGGGCGGGCCAGGGTGCCCACGCTTGAGGACGGCGCGAGGCGGAGGCGGTAATATAAAATACGCAGGACACGGTGCTCATTCGGGTAAGGAGAAATTGCGTGGTGGATACTCGTGAAGCGGGGCGGCGCGCAGGGCGGCACGTGCCTTGGGCGCGACATGCCGCCTGTAAGCTGTACAATAACGGGACTTCTGCGGCGGGCGGCGGTGGCGGCGGCGGTTTCAGCGGCGGGCGGGGCCGGTCAGTGGGTGGCACGCGCGGACCCGGGGCGCCACCTCGACCGCGCGCGCGGGACCGGGCGGCGAGTGGGCCAGGCGGCGGGCCAGCGTGGCGAGGGGGGGCGGTAAGAGGCGGGCGATGGGGGCACCCGGCCAACGCCGGCACCAGCTCGCGGGCCATTGGTGCTCGGCGTCAGAGTTCGGCCAGGCTGTCCACCGCGGCACCGGCGGGCGCCGCACGGCCGCGGCCGCGCACGCGCGCGCAGTCGTCGCGTCCCGAACGGCTCGCGCTCCGCCCCGTAGCAGCAGCGTCCGCATCGCACGCCTCATCCGTTCGCCTCCGCCGCCCGTCTCCGCCGCCATGCTCCGCGCAGCCCGCCGCCTCGGCCTCCGCCAACGCCTCCGCCTCCACCTCCACCGCCGCCGTCGCGGCGACCAATCTGCGCGCGTCATTCATTGGCCTCGTGGCCCGTGCGGTCCTCGAACGCGCGACCTCGCGGAGCCGCTCCGATCCGGCGCTCGCCACTGGGGCAGACGCCGGACGTGCCCAAAGAGGGGGAAGGACATTCGAATCGGCGTTTGACCAATGTGTGAAAGACTCAAGTTTGTCCAAACTGTTTCGAACGTACGGTTTGGAAACATATGTTGAGAACCCGATCAAGAGTTCACTGTGCAAGATATAGGCCATCGAGAAATTGGGGTATGGGAATGGGAGAACGAACTCCTAAAACAACGCTTGTTCGAAGCGTAACATGCACGTGGCGTTTCTAACATGAGGTTTGGAAAGAGTCTATGTATTTAAAACCCGATCGAGAGCTTGTTCAGTGTGCAATATAAAGATATCTTAAAAGCTGTGTATGTACGTACTCGGTGTATGTACGTACTCGACGTGTCCTACGGAAATTTCGAACTGAATAAACAACTAAGATCGCATAATGACAACATTTGTTGCCTTTCTAGCATCTTTTACCGGGATGTCCTAGGGATCAAGTCCCCGCGATGATAAATTTTGTGACTGTACGTATATACCTAGATCGAATTCACTCACTGACTGGAGGAGAATTGTTGTGACTGGCTGATCTAATCGATAGTTTTCTGTTGTTTCTCTGATCAATATCAGGCGAATTCCGGAGCATAACTCTTAATAGACTAGTCACGGGCCGTTTTCCTATGTGGACTCGTAGGCCTCATCGATGTGCCTTCCTCTCCCTTCACACACGCATGTATACAAGTTCACGCTTACACATACTGCATTACCAAACATATCGAGTCACCGGTCAAGAGTTTAGAGCTTCACCAGGCTGGAGTGGATCATTGCAGGAGAGAGAACTGTAGGAAAAAGCGCCACCGACCGACTATAACATATAGTAAACGTTCGAGATTAATGACAATAGTAGTTGAAGCGCGCAAACACTACATCCTCATTCAAACTGATTATATGATACTTGGATATGCTTCGCATTTGACATAGACCAAAGCTGTTCCCAAAGAACTACAAATATCTGAGAAAACCGGAGTATGATCGTCACTCCTTTCCTCTTTGAAATAAATTGTTTAAAATGGAGGGGGGATAAAACATTCCATGCACTCGAATGCACGTCCTTGCCAAAATGTCCCCAGGCTACAAACTGGTATTTCTCTATTGAAATGTAGCTTTTATTCTTGTGAATAAGCTGTTAACTCATGTTAACTACATTTTAGAGAAAAGAAAAGAACTTTCAACTGAACTTGTAAATCAGAAATTTATTACAGACAAACAAATCGTATAATAACCATTAAACTTGTGTAACATTTTATTTAATTAAAGTACAATAACATAGTGTTATACACAATATTATTCTACACAATAACATAGTATTATAATACAATAATTATTTTGAATATGTTTATATTTAAGTTGTTTCCTAGCGCCCTAGTACCAAATGTACCTTATTCTGTGGTCGTATCTCAGGGAGTGTAACAGCGGAGAAATTGTAATATTTGCCATACTTTCTGCGGCAATAGAATGTGCCAACTTAGGACATGACATCTAGCATGCGTAAGGGCGCAGATATCGGCGTAAATATTGACTTTTCCAAAAGACACAAATATTTTTTTCAATCTTTTTAAATAGGGGGTATTGTGAATTTTCGGAGTTTGTCCACGCATTAATCCGTGTGTAAATTCTAAACAAATATTTTCACTGGAGTCTGGTTTGCTCCATTCCATTTTTCGTAAATTGTTCTACCTATATACTAGTTTTAAAAAATATACGACGATATTAATTTTTTCCTCCATTTTTTCGCGCACTAGGTGAGTATTGTGAATTTTCGAAGTATGTCCACGCATTGATCTGAATGTAACTTCGAAACTAATATTTTGTCTTAAGTCTGTTCTACCTACATACTAGTTTTCACAAAGATACGACAAAACTAATTATTTTTTTACATTTTTTCCCGATGGGGATTGTGAATTTTCGGAGTTTGTCTACGCTTTAATCCGCGTGTAACTTCGAAACTAATAATTTGACTTAAGTCCGGTTTGCTCCATTCCATTTCTCGTAAATTGTTCTCCCTTTATACTAGTTTTCAGAAAGATAGGACGAAATTATTTGTTTCCCAATTTTTCACGCCGTGAAGGGTATTGTGAATTTTCGGAGTTTGTTCAGGCATTGAACCGAATGTAATTTCGGAATTAATATTTAGAGAAGGGCTAACTAAGATATCATTTCTTGGCATCTTCACTTTCTTGAGCGATCAGAAGTCTAATTCAACCACTGCAATTAGTATAATTTAGTTTCTTGTGT